GGTGTTGAAATTTTTTGGAGGGGTGAACATTTTGTTTGGGGGGTTATAGCTAATATTGGAGGGGTAGCACCCCCCTGCACCCCCCCAGAAAATCCGTCTATGGTCAAAAGACTCAAAACATGCAGAAACAGGAAGCGACATTTTTAACATTGATTCTGAAATCCACTGTGTGCTACTGACTGGTCAACGGAAAGTTACGGAACACAATAATTAATTAATAAATTTTGCAGAAATGCCAGAAAAGTGAGAAAACAACTATGAAAAAACATGGGAAATCGGTAAACATAGTGTCATTCCCAATTATCGAGCTTGTGTTCCACGTTCCCAGTCCACGTTTACAGTCCACGTTTACTGCGATGAAAAATATACTGCTGTCACGTGACCAAATTTGCATTTTTTCGGACAACTTTTGCACTCCGCTATTCAAAGTGTATACATGTGCGCGATATAAACAAGCGAAAATATCGCAAAATAAGGACGACTGAAAGTTTTTTTGTATTTGTGGGTATATTTTAACTCCTGTAAGTGTAATATACCAAAGAGAGAAATGTCTAGTTGTATGGTAAGGAGAATAAGCGTGTTTCGGACATGACCGTACTGTTGCCGAATTAAAGGAGTATTTGAAAATGCGTAGCGTTACTGCAAACGGCTATTTAAAACCTGCTTTACTTCAAATTGCTCAAGCAGTGGAGAAAATGATGTTGCCGACTGACCCAAATCATGAATATGGAAATTCGGATCTCAAGAACGCAAGAGAAACATTTATTATTAATGATATGGTGATACGTCAGCCATTGTCATATCCAGTCGTGAACGACTTTATAGATTCGCCAGTCGCCACCCTTTGGTTTGTATATTTTTAAATATTTAATATACAGCTCAGCTGAGTATGATAAACAGGGACTTGCCTCATATAAATCATTCGAAGATTATAGAGGCTGCAAGCACATCGCAGCCTGTTTGTATTCGCTGGAGGATGTACTGCATAATCGCGAGAGTGTAACATCTGGTCCATGCCAGGTCATTAGTAGAAAAGCAAATATATTGATTATAAAATATAACTTACTTTATTCCCATCAGCTGTAGCTGGTATCGGATCAGGATAATCCGCTGTGGGTCCATTTTCGCCAATAAAATGAAAACCGCATATAGCTGTCTTTCCGACAGACGAAAAAGAATTTGGCTTTCCCAAATTTGCCTTTCCTTAGATTTCTTCTCACTTGGGCGAAACTGTAGAAAGGTACTGAAGTCCCATTGTTTTTTTAAGCGTGCTGGATACCTCGAATCGCTTTTGCATATTCCCCAAGCACATCAGTCTCTTTACCATAATTTGTGAATCGCTTATAGTATAATCATGGATAGTATAATCGAGGCCGTCGAGCGAAATATATCCCTATATTTTCGTACCCACACAATGGGAAATTTTTCTCTTCGCTACATATTACACTTACAGGAGTTAAATATACCCACAAATAAAAAAAACCCTTTCAAATCGTCCTTATTTTGCAATATTTTCGCTTGTTTATATCGGGCACGTGTATACACTTTGAATAGCAGAGTGCGAAAGTTGTCCGAAAAAATGCAAATTTGGTCACGTGACAGCAACATATTTTTCATCGCAGTAAACGTGGAGCTATATACTATATACTATAGAGCTTGCTATAGCACTGAGCGCAGGAAAACATTTTAAATTTCCATTTATTTAAAGGTTTTTGAATAGTTTTTAAAGACTTACCATGATATATTATTATACTGATTAGCTATCACTGTAAAAACTGAACTCTTACCATTATTGATTGGTTATTACAGATACAGTACATTTCCCATATGGTAAATTGTTAAAAACTATCATGTTTAATATTTACCATTAATGGTGTTATCCCGGTAAATATTAAATATCATGGTCCTATTATTTTTTCAACGCGATTGACCGTGCGACCCTATTTTCTCCAGGTGGTTGCGGGCTGCTCATACAGCGTGCCAAAATGGCGTTTGTTGTCACACTAATTATTGAACCAAATTGCCTAAATTCGTCCATAGGAAATACGCATCTCAAGTTAATATTGATGCCGGGACTCTACTGCAAATCGCCCAGCAAAAAACCGCCAAAACCATGAAAAAAATATTTTAAAAATGTTTATTTCCGACCTACTGACCCTAATTTTTTCACGATATGAAACCGGAGCCACAGGTATATTTTTTTTTACGCCTCATACACTCTTTCTATATGTTTCTTGATTCACATGGGAACTGGGCCAACCCAGTTTGCCACTTGAACTTGACATCCTGCCTTTGTTGGCTCAATTATAAATGTACTTAGCGGGTTTGCGAGAGCACGGACAACCTTAAAATATTATGAATTTCATTTTATTAATAGCCGCTGTGGTCACATTGCCATTCAACATTGTACTTAAGGCCTCTATTATGTTTACAGTATTCTGTGTTTATAGTATTCTGTGGCAAGTTTTTTGCTTCAGGCAATTAATAAGCACAATTCAAGATATTTATACTGAATTTAACTATTTATTTATCAAATGCTACCTGGACTTATCCAAATCCTCTTAAATATCAATCTGAAAAATAGAAGACTCATACTTCTGTGAGAGTTATTAGGGACAGTACGATGCCTCCAACCTGATTGACCCCATGCGTTTGCAGGGACATAAATCCTGGGGTTTACACCCCCTAATGTTTCAGAAAAGCAATTTTGTAAGGCAAATTTATGAAATATTCAATAATTTTTCGGGCAAAAATACATTCAAATTAAGAGTCCAGTTGGAGCAATGTTAAAAATTTGTTATTCTAATATAAGTCGTTTTCTTACCATCAGAATTCTGTAAAATCTTCCCTCAAAGTTCGTGAAATGGCGTTTCAGAGACTCTGAATGTCACAATTTCCGGTGGGAGTATGAGCATGTCTCATGGGGGTATGAGCATGTCTTCATACCCCCCCCCCCCCTAGCAGTATCTCGTGCCTTTGGCACTCGATACTTGTGCCTTCACATCATCGTCCCTAGCTCCACAGTCCACTGCGAAGAGCAACGTAGCATAGCCCTGAGGACGAGGATGGTATCATCGATACTATCCCTGCGGACTCTCATAAACTGTTATTGTTTTCCCACTATATTTACGTTGTTTTCTGACCACAGCCATTTTGTCAGGCAAAGCAACTCTACCCCCTCCCCCTATCGTTTAGGAGTTTCACCTCTAGCATGATATGCGGTCTAGTAGACTTTACTTTTTGTTGCACTTTTTGCTCCATTAATGGCCGCGATTTTACTTGTTTACTGTTTACTTACTGTTTTAGCGTGGCAGGCGCACAACAGAAGGTTTTTTCCCCATGTTTCGTGCATGAATAGGTTTCTCTTTGCTATTTATGCCAGTCACAAACCTATCCTTAACCTTATGGTGCACGAACATGAGAAAAAAAACCATATGAAAACGAGGCCATTGGCGCAAGAGTGCAATAAACAGTACAGTGTATTTTTCCAGTTTTCAAGAGCGCAACCGATATTTGCCCCAGCAAATAATCCTTTCAAAATTTCATACCTTTACAACATTTTGAGTTTTTGACTCATCCTATTTACATATATATATATATATATACTTTGTTGGACAGTTTTATTTGCGAGAACTGAAAAATCTCGTCACGCTGCCGAATCCCATATGGTACTGTATCTACTATCTATGGGCCTTAATACATTACTTGCTTATATATATATGTAATTCTATTCTAGACTGGTCGACCTATATTCTTTTCCATGTGTGAATGGGGTGTTGATAACCCAGCATTATGGGCAGGTGATGTTGGCAATAGCTGGAGAACCACGGGAGATATTCATGACAGTTGGGAAAGGATGATGTATATTGCTGATCAAAATGACAAGTGGTGGGAACATGCAAAACCTGGTAGTTGGAATGACCCTGATATGTTGGAGGTATATATTGTACATTTTGTTATAAAATATTTAAGGCAATAGATGAATATTGTACACATAATGAATATCTATGAGTGCTATTGTAAAGGAATATTTTCATGAGGAAATTTTTTCAAAATCCTTACTACCTTATGGAAATAGTATGGATCTTCGTTGGAAACAGTATGGAAATCCAATTTTCATACTGATTGCAATTTCCATACTATGGATATAGTATTCAAATAATCTGGATATACCATCAATTTAGTGATACTATTTTCTTCCAGTGTAAAAGATGGCATGAGAACTTAAGGTTTGAGAACTCAATAATTGGCTATATCCAAGTAGGGAAAATTCGGGGAAGTTTTGAGCATTCAAATTTGGAAATTCTATTACTCGCTTTCGCCCTTCCTCCTGCGCGCCCCCAAATTGGCAATTCCAGCTTTTAGTTTATGCGTGCAGGGAATGATGGGTAGTAAGGTATCATATTGCTGATCATGCTGAAAAAATAAAAATGGTAGCCGTGTAAACACTGAGTGATAGCTTCTATTATTATTTATTCAAATGCATGACCTATTTACACGTATTGCTAGAATAGAAAAAAGTATATAAAGTATAGTACATATAGAATAGACGGTATAGATAATGAAAAATAGATAATATATAAAAGGATATAGATTTACATTTTGATTTTTATTTATTTTCAATTAAAGTGTTTTTTTTGTTCATTTTTGCCATATATATGTATAGATACAAATATATACATGTATGGTTTATAGAGCATTCGAAATATAGTGTTAATTACGACTACGCCGTGTGCAGTCATTTAAGAGGTTTCCCTTTTTTTATACAAATTAAAAATAATTTGTATAGTAAAAATATAGACTAAGACTAATTTGTTTTTGGGTTGTTTTGGGTTACCAGAGATTTGAGGCTATCTTCTCTTTCTTTTGTGCAGAGAAATAAATAATTAGAAAATAGATTTACTAAAACAGGATCGTCCGATGACATCGTGTGTTGAAGTAATTTTTGTTTAGTTTCTTTTGTTATTTTGAGATCAAACATGTTTTTGAGAATGTTGTTTGAGTTGTCTCGTAAGTGTTGGTAATTTTGGCATGCGACGGCGAAATGAAATTCGTTTTCCACTTCGCCAGAATCACATAGTTTACAGATACGTTCTTCTCGGGGTATATTTTCGTATCTTCCCCGTTCAATTTGTAACTTATGGTTGCTTATACGATATTGGGAAAATGTTCTTCTTATTGTTGGATTTTGAATAAGGGATAAGTATTCTTCCATTTTGTATTCATTTTTGAATTCACAAAAGAAAGAGAGTTTGGAGGAGTTTGGAGGAGCTTATACTTGTAAATATTGAAATATTTCGGTTGTTTCGGCAGTTTTTATTGATATTTTTCAGCATAATCGGCAATATGATACCTTACTTCCCATCATCCCCTGCACGCATAAACTAAAAGCTGGAATTGCCTATTGCATCGACTCTCTCTTTTTATGTGAAATTGATCGCTGAAATTAAAAATAGAAGGTCTAGGCTGCATTCATCTCAAACATGCGTACCACCCTTTTCATTTCTATCGTTCAGGTTGGCAACGGGAAGATGTCAAATACGGAGTACATCACACATTTCAGTTTGTGGTGTCTTATGAAAGCACCTCTTTTGATTGGCTGTGATATACGAGACATATCCGCGGATACACTAAACATCCTTACAAACGCTGATGCTATTGCTGTAAACCAGGACCCACTCGGTGCCCAAGGTCACAAGCTTCGCTCAGATGGGGACTTAGAGGTCTGGGCTGGACCTTTGGAAGACGGTAGTATGGCCGCCATCTTGTTAAACCGAGGTTCAACGACAGCGCTAATGTCAATAACAAGTGAAGATTTAGGTTGGGGGACACGTGCAGAGTTTATGGTTTTCGACATTTGGCAACATAAGATTGTAGGGGAATATACTGGGAAGTACAGCACTGAAGTGGCAGCACATGGTGTAATGTTTGGTACGTTTATAAAACAAGAAGAGATTACAGATAACTCCATCGCATTCTAACACTTGATAATGTTGAATAAATTTTGTAATGGTTGGGATTCAATTAATTCAAATGTTTACACTAACGGACTTTAATTCATTAAGGATAATGTAAAAGTAAAGAGTAAAAATAGTTCTAGCCTGAGTGTCAGGCTCTATTATTACAAATAGAGCCTGGCACAAAACCTTAATCCGATCGCTCTCTGACTTTGTCATCATTGTGAAATTGTCATTTGGAAATGTTAGATGTGAAATGATGGGGGTAATTAAGTTACAATTTTGACAATTAAATTAAGACATAATTTTGTAACCAGAATGTTTCAATTTAAAATTAAAGGTATTCATTCCCATAAGTGTTCTTCAAACCATAATTGCGTAATAGTGTATTAGCCCGCGACGAGAGGTTTGGTGACTGATTATTAATTAAAAGAAAGAAAGAAAGTTAAGAACTGAAATGGGCACCTCTTAAAGCTTACAATAACTTATACGAACGCAATGAACAGCAAAGACAAAATGCTAAGGCCCATCTACACGATAGACAAGTCGTATGCTATTCTTAATTATCTTGGCGTTTGTACTTGAATAAATGCGTGTAAAGATGTCATGTGTGAATGAGCCTTTAGTAAACGCCGTGGTGTGAACAGAGGTTCCACAATAGCATTCTGCAATGCCCGATCCCGTGCTCAAATTTCTCCCGCGGGGCTGACTATGTACAGTAACACATTTGACGTCGCAATGAGCTTTTCACGTTGCTGCGAAACGTGATAATGCTCAGCTTAACGTTGTATTCAGAATGACAGAATAGATCTTAGGGCCTGTTGATATGGGGGCAAAGTTATCCCGGTTAGCGAGAAAACATTTCGATAAGTTTACAAGCGAGACCTCGCCTTGTTATGAAACTAATATGAAAAGTTACACTGCGTTCGTAGACGAAAGGTTTTCTCTCTAACCGGGATAAGTTTTTTCTCATATGAACAACCCCCTCAACTCTATTAGAAACATCAGGAGTAGGACGGCAACATGGCGGCGACGGATGTTAATTACAATGAAATGCAATATATTTTACAAAAGAAATGAATAGTTCAAATATGTGAATAAAATAAAAACGGTAAACCACAGGTGTTTACATCTGATGACCGGTGCAGCGCCTTCATTTTCAAGTCACGAGAAGTGGTACTCACCACTCACCAGATTAGCTTAGTCTTGAAGTACAACTCTTCACAACAATGGAGCTCCCGTTTTATCGCTCGTCAAGTTGTAATAAAATCATACGATTGATGATACACGACATGTTCTCTTTGCAATCATTTACTTGAAAAAGTTTGTTTTGGCTACCGTCCTAAGTTCATTGTACGATCGAGGGAGTTTGGAAACCGACCACGGCAACTGCAGAAAACAGAATAACTTACATTTTTTCGAGCCGAAGCATACATTACCAAACTTTAGTTGCCTCTTTTAAAAGTACTTACCGTATTTACAAATTTGAAGGGCGCCGTGGCGCTCTTTAAATTTTGAGAGCTTCAGATGCGGCGCTCATTCAGATGCGGCGCTCATTCAGGGACGGCGCTCATTCAGGGACGGCGCTATTTAAAAAAATATTTTATTTGTGAATTATAACAAGAACTTTTAACAATGAAATAAACAAGTTTTAGATGTCTTTGTTACTAAATGTCTCCATTTTGACGGCGGAAAGTTTTTACATTGTTTAGTGGGGCGCTCATTTGGGGGCGGCGCTCTTTAAAAAAAATTGATCTCAAATGCGGCGCTCGTTCGGGGGCGGCGCTCAATCGAGAGTAATACGGTATCTTTCTTTTTAAGGTGGCTCCATACAGTTATTCTTGTTTACGCAATAATTCCGTAAAACAGGCTTATTCGTGCAGAACGCGAATTCTTTTCGACTTGGTGGCAATATTGGTCACCTAAGGAATATTTCGAACTAGATTTCGACAACGTCGGTGTTCCCATGGCAACATGACGACAGCATAAAGCCTTCCAATTTAACCCATAAATGTGCCGCTATCTCAAAAACGATGTCGGTGACCTACAGTATCTTTTTTATTTCATTTATCAATAGGGAAAGATGCTCTGCAACTGTGGTGAAAGTTTAAAAAAATTCTGTAGTGTGTGATTTTTTTAAAAGCGAAAATTTTATTGCGAAATTTCCACACTAAAGATATTTTTAAAAATTGAAATTTATAAAATTTACCGCAAAATAAATTCGTGGTCAAAATTTGAAGATAGGTCACCGATGAAACTAATGAGTAAAATGCAAATAAAGTTAGAAAATAGCCTCGTGTAACTCGATAAATTCCCCTTATTGAAAAGCGTGGCTGACTAGTAAAAGATTGTACGCGGGCGCGGTCAGCAGAATGAGCTTTCATTCAGCAAAATCGAGCGGCAATGTCGTTTTTACTGTTTTGTTTTTGTCTACTTTTCGATTTATTTGAGTGCCATGGAGAGCCAAGGATTATTGTGAAGGATCAAATCGATGAAACAACAAAACGTCTTTAAGGTTGAAGCTAATTGAACCCTGCCGTTTACTCAATGGGCTATTCCATTTAATATCCGTACCCCTGTCGAGGATCCCTGGAATTCTTCAGGGGTAAAGGGTTTTGAGCTTGGAATTCTTCAGGGGTAAAGTGTTTTGAGTTAGGAATTCTTCAGGAGTAAATGGTTTTGAGCTTGGAATTCTTCAGGGCTAAAGGGTTTTGAGCTTGGAATTCTTCAGGGGTAAAGAGGTTTGAGACTGAAATTTTTCAGAGCTTGGAATTCTGCAGGGGCATAGATTAAGTAAGAACAGATGTGTAACTTCAGTAAAAAAGTTGTCCCATGGTCGCCATCTTCCTAGCAAGTGTCGCTCGCGTGATAATTCGTCATTTGGCAATACGTCATTGCTTTCAAAATACTTTCAACACCTTTTCCACAACTTTAATTGCTTTTAACAACTTTGAACTTTGAACAAATGATGCTCTTGATTGTCTAATCCATAAATTTCGATCCAAAAAAGCCGCAATAATATGCAAACGTTCGTGTTTTCCAGGACGCCATTTTGCTAGCAAGTGTCATGGCGTGAGCATGACGTGTACATCTAGGGAAATTTGAGGACACGAATTCCTATTAAGTTACGCATCTGGTATATACTTCATCTGTGGCAGGGGTAAAGGGTTTTGAGCTTGGAATTCTTCAGGGGTAAAAGGTTTTGAGCTTGGAATTCTCCAGGGGTAAAGGGTTTTGAGCTTGGAATTCTTTAGGGGTGAAGGGTTTTGAGCTTGGACTTCTTCAGGGGTAAAAGGTTTTGAGCTTGGAATTCTTCAGGGGTAAAGAGTTTTGAGCTTGGAATTTTGGAATTCTTCAGGGGTAAACAGTTTTGAGCTTGGAATTCTTCAGGGGTATAACTATGAAAAACATGTATCCTCGACAGGGGGGTACGGATATGAAATGGAATAGCCCAATCTGTGAGCTGTAACAGCCTTTTAATGTACCGATCAATTCGAAACTTCAACATCCCCCCGGGCATATCCGGGGGGGGTATGGATCACGTTTCACAACGAAAAAAAAAAGCCATTTCACGATTCACGTGTCTTAAAAAAGCAATTTCACGGAAAACTAGATTCTCATAAAATAATATAATAATAATAGGTTTATTAAGACTATGTTTAATGCATGGTACAGTATCTACGCTTTAATTAATTAAGTTCTCTAATTTCCCTACCTGTTAGTTAAAAACTACATCATAACTTACAAGTTTGAGTGACGAGAATGTACGACGACCTCCGCGCGTGTCCTCAGCGCCAGGAACCTCGTCCTCAGCGCCAGGAACCTCGTCCTCAGCGCCAGGAACCTCGTCCTCAGCGCCAGGAACCTCGTCCTCAGGGCCAGGAACCTCGTCCTCAGCGCCAGGAACCTCGCGAAAGGCCTCCAAAGTTTTTACTCTTGTGCAATCGAGTGAGATCATATAAATTTGATTATCGCGTATCATGTTTATTATAATAATCACTATAATAATCACAGTTCACGAAACAGGCATCCTTAATTCTCATTTCACGGACCATTTTTATCAACAATCACGCCTCACGGCTGTAGAACAAATCACATTTCACGACACTAAAATCAAGCATTTCACGCGAACAAATATTGACCATTCACGGCTCACGAAAATACCCTTTCCCACCCTCTTGTAAATGAATATAAACTCTACGTTTCAATCAAAAAAGTTCGAAAGATGCAAAATTTGGGCAATCTTTATATCTGGGGGTCCCCTTTGTTATTATGAGTAGAACTGATGCGCAGGACGGAGTGGAAATCATCTTTAAACTCTCTATTAACTGTAGGGAGCCTCAACAACCCTAGCTTAAGTATAGCAATCACGTTTTCATTAACGTTGCCGTTGCATTTGCCAAACTCACTGCGGAACACGAGAGAAACTATAGTACTTTTAGGGCTATTTCAAACGTCGCGCTTCTCATATGCTGAACGTATTAGAAACAATATAGATAAAGAGGCATTTCAGCTGGTTATATATTGTTTTTAATTAAAGTGTTCGCTAAGCTAACCGCCTCGCTTGGCGGCCAGCTCAGCATGTTTCTCTCATAGATATCTTATATACACTAGATAGCGCATCTCTTCTAGTAAAATTGAAGCCAAGAATATTCCAGCGGTTACCCCCATTTGAATAGATGGCGGGCAAGTTGGTGTTTCCCACTCGCTAATAAACGCTTAAAAAACAACAATAACTTTCATCATTTGAATAGTTTAAAAATGTATTTGGAGTAGGTTTACCTTCTGTGTTTAAGAAACTAATAGAAAACATACGAATCTTCTCATTTCATAGGAATATCCTGAGTCTGCAATCACGGTTTCAATTCAGTGAATTGTAGAATAATCAGGGCCCGCCGAGAGCAGGGGGGGGGGCAAATTGCCCCGGGCCCCGAGGTGCTGGGGGCACCTGAAAAATTTTTGTTGGGCCCCAGTCTTTTTTGTGTGTTAAATATTTCCGCGCAAAGGGCAAGATATCTGTTTTATTGGGCTAAGTACCGAAATGAGGCATAGAAAAATCAGATAAAGTCCCTGAAAAGTATCTCCAAGTTTCTTGTCCGGAAAATTTTTTTACTCCGGAAAATTTTTTTTACCCCTAAAATGGTACACTGACCGAAATTTTTTGGCGACCGGGGGGGGGGGGAAGGAGGTTGTCAAGAAATATATTTTTGCGGAAAATTTTTTTTGAAAGGGGCCCCCCAAAAAAATTTGCCCCGGGCCCCCGCCAACCTCTCTGCGGCCCTGAGAATAATTAGCTGCACTATCTAGTGTATATAAGATATCTATGGTTTCTCTCGTGTGCGGATAATTTTCGTGAGGATTTCACCTCTCGAGGTCTTCAGGAACATACATTATCTATCGTGTTTGATATTTTCACCTCGCGAGGAAAAAATCTCAACGTCTGCGGATGTTGCATGCCGTTGGATGAATTAACCAGTCAATGAGAACCCATAGGTTCTTCACGTGACTTTGGTCAGACTGGCGACAATGGAGGAAAATGCAAACAATCTTATCAACGACGTCGATGTCAGTCCAAGGGGAACAAAAAATTGTTCGAGTTAGCGGAGGTTCGAGTTAACCGGAGTTGGTGTCATGCAGATTTCGTTTATTATGTTAATAATTAAAAAGGTGTAAAAGTTTTATTATATACTGTTCATCAAAATTACAAAAAGGGTCCATCCCTATAACTAAAGTTCTTTAGTCAGTATCTTTTTAACTTGGGTGATGGAGAAGGCATGCAAGTTCCATGCAAACTAAAGTTCTTAGGAAAAATATGTAGAGATTTTACAAAAGGAACTAAAAAACTAGATCAATAACAATCGTCGCAACTATGTCTGTGTGTATAATATTTTTAATTTATGATCATTTATACACCGAATAAATTGTCGTCATTTGAATGACGAATAAAATGTCGTCATTACCGGTTGTCAAAACGCTATGTTCTGACATTTCAAGGTTTGCCGATCCACGACTCGAAAACAAAGTTCGAGTTAACGGGATAAATTTGACCAAGGGAAAACAAAATTTGTTCGAATTAGCGAGGAGTTCGAGTTAAGCGAGTTCGATTAAGCGGAGTAAATTACTATAAAAAACAGGGTCAGATCCAAGGGGAATTGGATTTAGTTCGAATTAGCGAGGAGTTCGAGTTAAGCGAGTTCGAGTTAGCGGGGGACTACTGTACAGAGAGGAAATTAACACGCGGCAAATTGTGTCACGCCGATATATTCAGTCTATAATTCTATAAACTATTGAAAAACAATTAATTCACTATTTTATTAAATTTTGACAATGCAGAGGAAAAAAACTATACGTATTATAGAAGTATTCATTTTTTTTATGCGAGAGTTATATTTTGAGGAATTTATATCATTTGCTGCTTTGTTTTTTTATATATAAGCACTGAAATTCCCAGCCAGTGCTTTTCACGATTTTAATAAGGAGTAGATAGGGAAAAAAACAAACTTTTGCAAAATAAAATGTTATGTTAACACTCTTAATAAAAAGAAATCAATAAAAGTGATCGCTTACCGTTATTCTACAATAATTTATTGAACAAAATTTCCATGGGTATCTCATTTTTTTTAAAAAAAGCGATTTTCACCTTTCGAACGGCGTTTTCCCTAGCTTTTGATATGAAATTTCAGCGACGGCACTGGCTGGAAGATTTTGCGTGGCGCGTGGAACGCGTGACACAAAAATTCAGGCTATCGAGTGTCAGTTTCCTCTCTGTATATCTCTTCTCTGTGTCGATGTTGAGTAGTTTAGGGCAGCCAGACATACAGAGAGAAGGTCCATGCATGCAATTTCCCGAAAGTGGAAAACAAATTTACAAAGGTGAACAATACCAACCTGTATAAAAAAGAACAAAATCATTGCATTGATATATAACAATAATAATTTTACTTGTATTTCAAATAACGTAATGATTATTTTGATTGTAATGATTATTTTGTCAGTTTAGACAGTTGAAGCTCTGACTGATGTCAACTGCAGCTGGAAGCACAGCTGAATTTCAATGTCAAATCAATAATTTCCACAAGTCGTTGCCGCGGGAAATAGCTCGACAGTTACTTTTATATTACGTATCTTTAGTATCTGCGATTAAACTCGTCTCATCTGCCTTTTTATGTTTCGGGCATGATTCTCTGAGTGATTCATCTTTAGCTGCGCCCTCTGTCTTGTTATCAGCAGTTTCACATGTGCAGTACTTGATTTCTACACAAGCGTTTCGTCTTCCTTTGCGAATACAGCCTGAAAAGTCAGTTTCCGGGTCCGCTTGTGATGTGGCCATGATTAAACTCAGCTCAATAGTATGATCAACTGCTAATATCACTCATTCAGTGAATCAGAGCGACTAGTTTTGGTTATCAGTATAATTCTAAATAAAACTAACTGGCCAATAATTAAGGATACTTTGTATGGAAATAAACTTTAGGAGAGTCCAGACTGCAGAATTGTTCAGAGTAAAATAACAAACACGTTTCCTTGTGATTACCGATAGCAGCAAGTTTCCAACAGTTACGCAAATCACAATTGCGTTTTTGCCGTCATGCAGTCTGTACAGAAAAGGACTTCAGTCAACTGTCAGTAACAATGGCAGCAGAGAGTGTACATGCAGCAACAGACACCCAATGTTTCACAATAATACTCGACAGACAATAGGCTGCGACTAGTAATACAAATTGATGAGATTGATAGAGTTTCGAAGTGAAACGACGTCTATTAATGGAAACGTGTGTAAATGTGGACTTCAACAATCTAGAGTGGAATGTAGACTACAAACTGTAGTTATAACAAGATGTAGACTTTTTGACTTTGTATCAATGATAACGTCTAAATACCGAGCACAATGTAACTGTTGCTACCACTTTAAAAGAATATTTATCATAAATAAAATATGAATCCAAATTGCACTTCAACAAACTAATCCGAGATCTGAGTCTGTAAACAAACACTCACGAAAATTTAAAACTGGGTCAAAGCAAGACGAACGTAGCAAGCAAGAATGGCACTTTCTTGCTATAAGCAGTTCTTGCTCAATAGCCAATTCAGTTCTGGATCATAGAATCCTATTCCAAACCATATTACCGAGTATTGCCCCACGGCCACGTACAACACAAACGGCTAACTTTGAGGATACTGATCAGTCTGTGGTGGAAAAACTGAACTGTACAGTGTTGCTCTTTGAATTGACTAGCTAGCAACGACACAATATTTCAATACTTCGGCTCAGCCTGTGATTAAAATTCAATGACAACGTCAATAAACAAATGCGATCGAACTCGACGACAATGCCGCGAACAATGTATCTAATTATATTTTTCCGCCGATATGGATCTGACAAAATCCCCCAAAATTTAGAACAAATATCAATGTCACGCAGTCAAAGCAGATATTGTAAGATGCACTATTGCACCGCAATACCACAACGGTAATGCCAATGAACAAATTCCACTTGAATAGGATATTGTTATCTATAATAGGAAATGAAAACTAACGAGACAATTAATTTTGCCGGACCGTATTACGTAGCGAACAACTTGTCGTAGCCAGTTTTTAATATATCCAACCAAAATATACGAAAGATAATTTATCCATGCGTTATCCAGTAAATCGTAAACGTCATCCAGTATTCCGATCAAACTTCTTAAAATGCGATTTCCAAGCAAGTGTTTGAATTATACAGTGAAATTATAGTTATCCAAAGGTTGTCAACTGATATAGCACTAAGATAAACAAACTTTACTTCAGTCTTCCGAGAGAATATACACGAAAGCAGTCTCACAAGTGACGATCAATATATATAGTTGCAGAGCACAATAATTGTGTAAATCCAAGTTATCCAAAGATATTCAATTTACCTCCATATTTTATCGCGATTACAGCGTGCATGTCATAATCCCGGCCTATAGACCTCTGTGCATATATAATGATTATTACCGCTTTATAGAAGAAAACACTTATAGCATCTGTTTCGTGTGCAACCAATTGCGAAGGACGGATGAAGCACGGTGTTAATGAAAAATAAACCCACAGTGAAATTTCACAACTGCAGCAAATGTTCCAAAATGTATAGATAATTTTGACAATATTTTAAGACTCTTATATTTGTTTACAATAGCTGTACAAGCTGGTTTGCATATGGGCTGCGGACAACTGTGCTGTGTGGCTTTAGTTGTATAATGAATTTATAATTTCGTCCTGTTTTAATTTCAAATGCAGATGCAGATTAAATCGTTTGTGAGATGACTAATGACAACCTCGTCCCCAGGGTCTTCTTCGTGCATGGCGCGTGAAAAATGAGAAGACCCTGGTAAAGGCTGTGAAAATCTCCACGATTCATGGACATTTTAGTGCATGCGCAAAAGCGAATTTGCCTTGGCGCTGACCAATTCATTGCTGGCGTCC